GCTTAGGTGATCCTCCTGCCTTAGCCTCCCAAGTAGCTAGGACTACAGGTGCCTGCCACCTGTAATTATCAGCATACCCAGCTAATATTTGTATTTTTAGTAGAGATTGGGTTTCACACTGGTCACCAAATCCTGACCTCAAGTGATCCACCCACTTTGGCCTCCCAAAGGGCTGGGATTACAAGCAGTGAGCTACTGTACCCAGCCAAAAATGTCTTTTAAAAAATTAAATTAGCTGGGCACAATGGCACATGCCTGTAATTCCAGCACTGTGAGAGGCAGAGGCAGGAGGATCACATGAGCCCAGGAGTTCGAGACCAGCCTGGGCAATATAGTGAGACCTCGTCTCTACAAAGTTTTAAAGTTAGCCAAGTGTGGTGGTGCATGCCTGTAGTCCCAACTACTCAGGAGGCTGAGGTGGGAGGATCGCTTGAGCATTGGAGGTTGCAGTCAGCCGAGATTGTACCACTGTCCTCCAGCCTGGGCAACAGAGCAAGACACTGTCTCAAGAAAAAAAATCATATTAAGTAACAAAGAATGAGTTGATTTAAAGAGAAATGTTGACTAAGTAATAATTAAGGTGGCTGGGGAACATGACAAATTACATACAAGAGGTTGACCAACAGCAAACCTGCTGGGGGTCATCAAGCTCTGGCCTGCCTCCTCTGCCCATCAACCATGTGGCCAGCCCAAGAAGCTTCTGGAGGGTAGCACTGGCCTCCCATGGGCAGCATCCAAAGATTCCCCCCAGTCTTCCCTGCCGAATGCACGGTGTTTCCCAGGTGCCCTGCACCCTTCCTGGCTATCGGATGACCAAGTCAGGACTGCTCAACACCGACCTTGCAGTTGACTGTGTGAAGCTCATTTTACCATCAGCCCAACTGAAACAGACTTGGAAGAAAACCACAGGTGACACAAAGCCATGCACTGCATACTGGAGCCACTTGGAGCTGACTGGGGACGAGTCACACAGATACATCATCCACACAAACCTGTCAACCCAGATCCTTCTCTGAATTTAGCCAGTCCAGGTGCTAGCAGTACCACACAAAACATCCAGGTACTGACTGGGGTGGTTCTTGCAAGGCAGGTCACACCACTGGGACACAGAACACCAGCTTGGGGACAGGCGTGGTGGCTCACTCCTGCAATCCCAGCACTTTGGAAGGCCAAGGCAGGTGGATCACCAGAGGTCAGGAGTTTGAGATCAGCCTGGCCAACATGGTGAAACTTTCTCTCTATTAAAAATACAAAGATTAGCTGGGTATGGTGGTGGGCACCTGTAATCCCAGCTACTCGGGAGGCTACAGCAGGAGAATTACTTGAACCCAGGAGGCAGAGGTTGCAGTGAGCCAAGATCGCGCCACTGCACTCCAGCCTGGGTGACAAGAGCAAAACTCTGTCTCAAAAAAATAAAAAGAAAAAGAAACAGAAGAGAAAAGAGAAGAGAGAAGAGAAGAGAAAGAAAAGAAAAGAAAGAAAAGAAAAGAGAAAAGAAAGAAAAGAAAAGAAAAGAAAAGAAAAGCAAAGAAAAGCCAAGCCAGCTTGGTTAGGAGGCCCCTCCCCAGTAGAGTCAGCTCTGTATACTGTCACCAGGAGGCGGCGCTCTTGGGCCCCTCAACACTCCTGGAAGCCTTCCTCACTTCCTCACTTCCTCACTTCCTCAGGCACCTTTTGAAGCAGTGAGAGTTGAGAACTCCCTTCTGTTCCTCCAGCTCCTCCTTCTCCTCCTTCTCTGAAAAAGCTTCAGTCAAGCTTAGACCCAGCCTTGAGATAGTGGTCAAGGATAATTGCTTGCTGAAGTCCTAGATGGACCCCCAAGTGAGCACTGGTAGTTGAGAGAGGAGAACTGAAACCCTCAGGGCCAGGTTTTTCGGGGCGGGGAGGATCCCCTGAGGGAAGGAATCAGTAGTCCCACCCCTAGCACAAAGACCACCCTGGATCAGTGGTTTCCAAATCTGAACAAGCCTCAGAATCGCCTTGTGAGATCTGGCGTGGGGCGGGTCACGCGCATCCGCTCCCACACTCCTGAACCTGCAGGTCTGGGGTGGGCCTGAGAGTCTGCATTTCTGACCAGAGCCCGGGTGATTTCGCTGCTGCTGGCCTGGACCCCACACTGCAGAATCGCTGCACCTGATAAAGGTTATGGATAAATGAATGCATGAGGGAGTGAAAGCTGGTCTCGCTCATCCTCCTCAGGTTAAACGGATGAAAAGGCAGCACCACTCCTGGGCCAGGCACTGGGCAGAGGAGGTAGGGGAGCACAGGCGCCTCCAGGCTCCATCCCAATGGGGCCTGGCCAGCCCCTTCCCACAGAGGGGCTGCTTGCTTATGCAAACAAACTCTTTCTTTCCAGAGTGCAGGGAGCACGGGCCCAGATTCTCTCCTCTGCACTGACGTCCAGCCTCTGTCAAAGGCAGGGACTTCCTTGGTTCACTATCAGCCTTTCCTTGTGTCCCGGGTCGGAACAGGAGCACCTGTAGGTTCATGTAACCGACAAGTCTGCTCGCGATGCCGTCCTGGACTCCTTAAGGCCTGGGCTCCC